CGCTCTGGAGCTGGGAGTCTGTCCCGAGGCACATCTGGGGTGGGGGCGCGGCTGCCCCTCTTGGGACCCTAGCTGGGGGTGGGAGGCAGCCCAGAGAACCCCAGGAGCAGCTCTGCACCAGCCCCTGCGGGGAGAAGGGGGTTGCCTGCTTACCCAGCCTGCATCCCAGTTGCTGGGCCGAATGGGGGAGCGTAGGTGGGGTTGAAGCGGGGTGGGGGTGGAGCAGGAAGTCCTAGGAGGTGGGGCGGAGCCCTGGGACTGGTAAGTACCACCTAGGCCTCCCACTGGGCACACCTGGGGAAACAGTGCCAGAGGGGAAAGGGCTTGTCCAGGGTGACCCTTTTCCCACACCCAGGGGCTGTGGTCACCCCATGTCCCCCTGTGGAGCCCTGCAAGACCTGCAGGTCTGGGTGAGGGTCTCAAGCCACCTGCTGGTCGGGGGAGGCAGGGGTCTCAGAGTGTTGGGCCAGCTCTTCCTAAATCTCCAGAGAAGCCAGAAATCTGGGCTCACGTGTGAAGTCTGCATTTTTCAATGTTGGCAAAAACAAATCCCAACATACCAAAGCCTCAAAAATTGACAGACTTCAGACTTGGCCCACTGGCCACCGGCTCGAGGCCCAGTGGGTTCTGAGGGGAGACGGAGAGGGCCTCTTCCCTGCAAATCTCACAGCCCCGGGACAGGGTGCCCCCTGTCTGCTGACCAGGTGTGTCACAAGAGTCACCCGCAGGTCTGGTTTTCCCGAGCGCCCACGGGGAGAGTAGGGGTTCCTTTACGGGGACCTTGCACCGCACAACCTGGAGGAGGTGCCTCCCAGTTCACAGGAACTGAGGCCGCTGGTCCCCGAAGCCCTGGGGCTGGGGCTAGGGGCTGCGGCTGTCCAGCCATTCCCTCCAGCCACCACCAGAGGGCACCACGTGCACACCCCTGAGGGCACTGGGGCCCAGGAAGTCAGGGGAGCCCCTGTCTACAGAGGTCTTGGGATACCCTGCCTGTCCTTCGTGCCCCCTAGCTGGACACGCTGGGCCCTCGGTCCTGGGCACCCATCTAAACTTCTCTGGTCCAAAGGATATACATCCCTGCTTGTTCACTGGGCCACGTGGTTGTCACTGACAGTGTATGTGGGTCCGGGGGTTCTGCCAGCACAGAAGGTGACAACGAGGCTGGTTCCTCTCCGGGGACGCTGCTGAGGCTGGGGCCTGATGTTGGAGGGCACGTGAGGGTGTCCCCTGCTCGGGGTCTGTGTGTGTCCCCACCTGCACCCCAGCTGGGGCTCCGCCCACCTTCCTGCTGCACCCCTGGCGCCCACACACTTGGGGCTCGGGAACAACTGCTGGTTACTTTGTCTAGACAGAAAATGCGGGATTGTCCGCAGGCACCGCCTTGGGGGACAGGAGGGGGTGGCTTGTGGTGTGGAGAGGGGACCAGGCCCCCAGCGAGGGACGCTGCTCACGTGCTTTTAGGAGAAGCCCGACCAGCAAACAGGGCCGCTGGGCAGACGGCTCTGCATGTTTCCCTCCCTGAGCATTTGATGAGCACTGGCAAGTCTTCGGCCCCCTGTGCCCCTGGGGGCTGTTCTTGGATGCAGCCGCTTGAGCTGCCTCAGTTTCCCCAGGGGCGGGACAGGAAGTCACCGGATCCAGTGATATCATCTTTGGCAAACGCCTGGAGGCTCAGGACCCGGGGTCTGTCTCGGGGTCCCAGTTGCTGAGGCAGAGGGGCAGGGCTGGGCGTGCCTTCCTTCTGGGGCACAGGCTGCCCACCCCTTCCCTGGGCCCACCGCCCTCCAGACTGGGAGCCCTTCGAGGATGGGGATGGGGCCTGCGCTGGAGGCATGGGGGGGGGCGCCTCTCAAGCCCCAGCCTCGTTCCTCCCCAACTCTGGGGCCCTGACGAAGAGCATCTCTGTTGTACACCGGGGGCACCCCAAGGTCCCATGGTGGCTGGCAGCAAGAGACGAATTTAGGGGTCTCGCCTGGCAGCAGGGGGCAGAGGTGAGGAGGAATGGGCCAGAGGTGTGGGGGTCCCAGGGGGAGTGAGGTCCACAGGGAAAGGAAATCCCAGGTCCGCCGAGGACCCCACCCTCATCGCACAGATGCCAGGGAACTCAGGCCTGGGTGAGGGGCTCCCTATGTAACGTCACTCTCCAGTCGGGGCTGGACACCGGGGTGCTGCCTGGTACAATGGCGCTCGTGCGGGCAGCCCAGGCTGGGAGATGTCATCCCCCTTCCGAAGTCAGCGGCACATGTGGGCACTCGGGCCCGCCACACAAGGCTGAGGGGACAGTCAGTATCGCTCGAGTCTGGCGGTGCTGAGTTTTCCAGGCAGCCCTCGGAGCTTAAGCTCTGAGACCCCTCCCTGGCCCGGGGCCTGCCAAGACCCTGGCCTGGCTTTGTCTCCCTGGTCTCTTAACTATTTTGCCCTCAGAGGGCCTCCAAACTGTGGGCTCCAGGGCTTTGGACCTGGACCCGCCCCAGCTGAGCAGCAAACACGGGCCATGTGTTGAGGGTGCTAAGAGGCTGGGGAGGGGAGCTGCGGGCGGGACAGCAGGGCAAAGGGGCAAAGGCCTCGGGCCCAGGCCAGCTGGGCCTGCTGGAAGCCCCTGTGCCCAGAGCCCAGCGCTGGGGAGGAAGAGGTGGGGCAAACTGGGTGGGGAGGGACTGGGGCTCCCTTCCATGGGAAGTGGGAGTCCAGCAGCTTTGGGTAACAGACCATTCACTGTGAACTGACTTGGGGTTTTATTCCTGTTTGCCCAGGCTTGTCCTCAGCCCACCCCACCCCCACCACCTCTGGGTCTTCATCTCCTACACCCCCCACCCGCCAGGTCCTCAGTATCCCTTCTCCTCACACCAACCAGGCACCGTCCTGCCTGAGGACCTTTGCACAGGCCACGACACCTGCCGGCCGCTCTGGGCTCCATCCTCCCCTCAGGTCCTGGCTCTGACACCACCCACTCTGCGAGGCTTCAGACATCCCCCCAACACCTCATCCCCTGTCCTGGCTCAGGCTGAGCTCACCCCCTTCTAACGGACACTACAATGTCTGCTAAACATCACATGTGCTGTGTTGACTGTCACCCCACCAGGGTGGGGGCGGCCTGAGAGGTTCACTTCTGAATCCCAGCCCCCATCAGGTACCTCATAAGTATTTAGTGAATGAATGAATGGATGCTAAGAATGCTCTGGCCCAGGGCAAGTGGTGAGACGGGGTGGGAGGGACAGAGGCTGGTGGCAGCCTGGCCCAGGGTGGAGCCCGTGTGTTGGGGAGGAGTCTTCAGGAGAGGGGCTGGGACCCTCTCCTCCTCTGTGACTTGAAGGTCCAGGCCAGGTCCCTGGGGGAGGGATGCCATTCTGCCTCTCCAGGCCGGGTGGGTCCTTGGGCTGGGCTGCGGGTCCACCTCCTCCCTGCTCTCAGCCGAGAGCCTTGGGGCTCTGGCGGCCTGCCTGGACTGACATCTTCCCAGGGCGAGCATGAAAGATCCCCCTTCAGCTGGAACACACAGCTGCCTGGGCGGGCCACAGCCTGGCACTGCCGACTCTGCTGCTTGCCCAGCCTCTCTCTCTCTCTCGCAGACTCAGGGCAGACGGCGGCCCAGCCTGTCCACCCATCTGGCTGTGAGTCTGGCAGGGTCTGACTGAAGACACAGCAGAGGTGGCCGCTGGAAGGCCCCCCAGGGCTCAGGACAGCCTGCAGGGGGACAGGAGATGGCCCGGCTCAGCCCACCCATTGTTCAGATGGGCCCATCCCTCAATGCCCTTGAGTCCCACCTACTGTGCACAGGGACATGTCACATCTCCACCCTCATGGTCCTGACCTCCAGGTGGGTGAAGTCACCCAATATGACGCCAGGCCTGAAAGCGCTAAGAAGGCCAGAGGGTCCCTGGAGGCCAGCGGTGGTCTTCCATCCCTCTCCCTGTTTTTCCAGGCCTTTCCTTATCTCTGCTCCCCATCTCTCCTTTGTGCAGGATGCTCTGGTTGAGCTGGGGTGGGGAGTGGAGGCTGGGAAGAATCCTGGGCCTGTGGCCTATGTCACCTGACGCCAGGAATCACTCCCCAGCCTGGCTCTAGCCCCAGAAGCAGAGCCTCGAGTGTTTTTCCAGATCTGGGGGCCTATGGGGCGGGGGCTGGCTGGAGCCTGAGCCCAAGGGGCAGAGAAATGGGGTAGTCCAACGGGGCTCACATGTGGGCATCCGGTGGGAAGGGGTGGCAGACCCTGGGTCCCCCTGTGACCCTGGGCACTTCCCCACTTTAAAGCCCACCAGCCTTTTGGGAGAGCCCCCCCCGCCCCCCACTGTACTTTAGGGCCTTGTTTGAAGGTGGGGATCCTCAGAACCCTTGGGTGGCTCTTCCTATTGGCCCAATTCGGCCTCAGTTTCCTCATATGCAGGAGGTGGGGGAGAGGGGGCCACGGTGGGACCTGGAGACTCCTGGCCTGACCCCACTTTGCCGCTCCCCACACAACACGTCTTTGTCCGGGGTCTCAAGTGACAAAGCAAGGGCTCGTGTGGCCTTTTATTATGGAAATTCTCAAACCTATAGAAAGGATGGAGGCTAGTATGGGGGCGGCTCCACTTCTCCGAGCCCCAGCGTCAGTGGTTACCGCCCCGCTGTGTCCTCTGGACAGAGGCGAACTGAAGCGCCAGGAGAAGGCCCCTCGTCAAGGTCGCGCGCGGCGGCGATGACCTTGGGCGCGTCCCTCTTTTTCGCGGGCCTCAGTTTCCCCTTCTGGGACTAGGCTTGATCGGATCTCCGAGGCCTCGAGCCGCGTGACCTTGGGCCGTCCCAGAGCCAGCGGCCTCAGTTTCCCGGGCGCGGGACCCGTGCAGGGCGCGCCGGGAGTGTGCGCGGGCAGAGGAGGGGCTCCCGCCCCCTCCCCTCCCCCGCGGCCCCGGCTCCGCCCCTCGCGGCTCCGCCCCGCCCTACCCCCGCCTCCCCCCTCCCTCGGGCTCGGGCCGGCGGCGGCGGCGGCGGCTCCGCTCCGCACTGCCCGGCGCCGCCTCGCCATGGACGCGCGCGGGGGCGGCGGGCGGCCAGGAAAGCCCGGGCGCGACCCCCGCGCCGGGGCCGCCGCCGCCGCCGCCGCCGCCGCCGCCCGCGCCCCCGCAAGCAGCAGCCGCCGCCGCCCGCGCCCCCTCCGGGCCCCGGGCCGGCGCCCCCTCAGCAGGCGCCCCGGACCGAGGCGGCGCCCCTGGAGGCGGCGGACGAGGGCGGCCAGCGGGCCCGACTCCGCAGCCGAGACAGCTCGTGCGGCCGCCCGGGCACCCCGGGCGCGGCGAGCACGGCCAAGGGCAGCCCGAACGGCGAGTGCGGGCGCGGAGAGCCGCAGTGCAGCCCCGCGGGGCCCGAGGGCCCGGCGCGGGGGCCTAAGGTGTCGTTCTCGTGTCGCGGGGCGGCCGCGGGGCCCGCGCCAGAGCCGGGCGCGGGGTCGGGGCCGGCGGACGAGGCGGGCAGCGAGGAGGCGGGCCCGGCGGGGGAGTCGCGCGGCAGCCAGGCCAGCTTCATGCAGCGCCAGTTCGGCGCGCTCCTGCAGCCGGGTGTCAACAAGTTCTCGCTGCGGATGTTCGGCAGCCAGAAGGCCGTGGAGCGGGAGCAGGAGCGCGTCAAGTCGGCGGGGGCCTGGATCATCCACCCGTATAGCGACTTCAGGTACAGCCGCCCAGAGGGCCGGCCGGCCAGCGCGGAGGGGCACGGCGAGCGGACGCGCACAAGGGTCGTCCTGGGAGCGCTGTGGAGAGGGCGGGGCGGTGTGCCCCGCGGGTGACCTCGGGGCCCCTCGGTGACCTCGGGCGCGTCCGGGACCCGCCCCGGAATGACCCGGGCGCTTGTGGCGCCGCCCTTGGAGGGACACTGGGAGGCGCGCGCCCCCTCCCACGCAGCCTGACATTCCCCGCCCTTCGGGTGGGCGCACGTCACGGGCCGCAGGACCAGGGTCTGAGCGCGGAGGGGCGGAGAGGACGAATAGAGGGGAACGTGGGCGCCGGCGAGGCAGCGGAGCGGAAGGAAGGAGGAAGGAAGGGCGCCCGGGAAGGACGCACCCCGTAGAGGCTGGCGGAGAAAGGGTTAAGCGGACACGCCGGGTCCCAGGGTCTCCACCTGCGTCCCACGCCGCAGGGAGGCGCGTTCCGGGTCCCTGGGCCTCGGTATTGCGCAAGGAGGGGACACTGTTCGTGCTGGTGTCCCCCGGCTGTGTCTACTCTGAGCCGCATCAGCTCCAGCGGCTGGGTGGTGTGCCCAGGTGTCAGTGGTGGTGATGTTGATGTGAATTCAGCTGGCTGATCCGTGGAAAGGCTCAGAGCAAGGCCCGGAGCAGGCTCAGCCGCGTGTGTTTGTGGTGTGCCCAGGTGTCAGTAGTTGTGTAGATGCTGATGTGAATTAAGCCAGTTGGTGCGTGGAAAGCCTCAGAGCAAGGCTGGAGCAGTGTCACGCCGCCGCGTATGTTTGCAGTTCCGTTCCCGGGTGAGCGCTGTGTGGCCTGAGAGTGTGAACGATGCATATCATTGCAGGCCGTGTGTGTGATCACGAACATGTGACTGCGGCGGGCAGGGGCCGAGTGCTCTGGGGGGTGTGTCTGCATGGCGGATCACTGGTGTGTGTTGGGGAGAGAGGGAGTGTGTGCGCATCAGCGGGCAGTGGGTGTGAGGTGTGTGCATGGTGTGTGTGTGAGGTGATGTGTCCGTGACTGGGGTGTGTGAGCTGGGGTGCAGAGGGTCTCCCCAGGCCTCCGGGCCAGGATCTCAGGGCAGGCACGGTTTCAGCACCACGGACAGCAGTCCAGCGGCCTCCGAATCCTATGACGCCGCGGGTCTCCCCTCCCTCAGGCCTGAGGTCGGATTCCTGGACCCCCAGAGCTGGGAAAGCGGAGCTGTGGGCCTCTCCTTTCCCTGGCCCTCCATATCCCCTGTGCCTGACAACTGGGGAAACGGAGGCCCAGGGGCACACAACTCAGGAACGGAGCCTGGAAGAATGTCCAGGATTCCAGCTCCTCACCCCCAGACCGTCCTGGGAGGTGAATGCAGCCTTGACCGGCGGCTTTGGGAGAGGCCAGGGGGCCCAGATGGGGTGCCTCTGGATGGGCCCGAAGGGCATGGGGGCTCAGCACCCCTGCAGATGGTTCCAGTCTGTGAAATGGGGATGAACTTGACTTCCAGGGCTCCCTGGCCCACCTGGCCCCTCTGTGAATGGGGGCTAAAGCCAGCTGGCTGGAAAGGGACGTGGGGGCCATGTGGGCAGGGGGAGGTGGCTGCAGAAAGTAGCCATTCCTCTGCCCCCCCAGCACATCCGCCTGCAGCATCCTCAGGGCTGTGGGTGGCCCTGGGCTTCCTCTCAGCTACAGAAGGGGTGGGGGCTGCTGGGAGAAGGAGCTGGGCGTCCCCAGCCTTGTGCGCGTCCAGCACAGTTGACCGTGGGTCCCTGGGCAGATACACTGTAAACTGGGGGTGAGCAACGGGATGGGGGTGAGGGAGGGATGAGTGGGGCCTGTAGCTGGGACTAGGTGAGCCAGTCAAAGTAAAAACCTTAAGACCCTGCCAAGCTGGGGTGCTGCGGGGCCTCTACAACCCCCCACGTTTTGGGAACCCTTCTAGACCCCTCGGATTCAATATGGAGACAGACCCCCCAAGCACATGATCGGAGAAGTGCTTCCTGAGCCCCTCTTGGGCCACAGCACCTTAAGAATATAGATCCAATCCTCATGTCAGATGTGAGGTGGCTGCCGCAGGTACCCCAAATTTACATGCGAGGAGAGGGGGTCACGGAGAGGTAAAGTAACTTGCCCAAAGCCACACAGCTAGTCCCCGGCAGAGCAGGGATTCATTCCTGGGCAGGCTGGCCCCTGAGTCTCCACTTTTGGACTGTCAGGCAAGCTGGCCCCTGGCCATGTCCTGTCCAGGCCAAGAAGAAATGGGAGGAGAAAGGCATCCTGGGGATTGTTCAAGATAAGGGGGTTGCCCAGGGGGAGCCGTGGGTCATCTCTGTGTTCGTGTGAGTGTTAGTTTTAAGACCCATTTGTGGAGCAGTAGGGAGAGGCCTTTCTGGGTCTGCTTGTCCACACTTGGCTCCGTTTGTCCTCATGACCTGACGGTGCAGACACCATCCCCGCTGGTGCCCGGGTAAGCCCTGGACATGACTTAAAAGGGAAACTGGGCCGTGAGACCAAGGCTTCTCCCCCAGCCCCAGGTCCTGCCCAGGGCCGTGGCATCTCCACTTTCTTGAGCTACAGCTTTGCTCAGATTGGCACGGCACCCATCTGGCATGGAGCACAGAACAATTCATGTTTGGTGAACTGGAACAGCCTTGGTCACGCCTAGCTCCTCGGGCCACATGGGCTTCCAGGGAGGGCAGGCGTCTGCAGAGTCCTCGGGGAGGGAGTCTTGAGGAAGGTGACTGGACCGAGGCCGGAGGAGCGGGCTGCAGAGGGGCTGCGGCAGTCTGCGGCGAGGCCTGCGCCCGCTGTGCATGGCCTGGAATCCTCTCCGGGCTTCCCTGCCTCAGTTTCCCCAAATGCGTGGTGCACCCCATTTCTCTCGTTCCGGTCGATGTCTGCACCGCCCATGCATTCAGAAGCGGCCTTTTTTCCTTGATACGCTTACCTGCCTCTCCCCCCCACCTCCATGGCGTCCTGGGGCCTGGCACGTCGGGGGGGCGGGGCCCAGGATGGTTTTGGGAACCTGCCGAGGGGCACACATGGGCACCAGGCAAGGCCAGTCAGGTCGTGAGCCCCGTTTCCTGGCAGCTTTGGAACAGCCCCAACCCTTTCTGAGGCATGTCTTCACTTCTTCATGGGGCCATGAGTAACACTACAGCTGGCGCCCGGATACAGATGTTCTAGGAGCTTCCATGGGGGCGGGGGAGGGGAGAAGCATGTTCGAGGGACAGCAGGAAGGATTCAGGTTCAGGAGGGTTGCTTTTCCTTCTTTGCACCCTGAGGTCCATTTCTGAGTCAGAACAAGCATGAAGACCACCCCAGAGCAAAGCAGGGAGAGCAGCCAAGGGGCCAGCATGGAGGGTCACAGCCTGGGCCACTGCCTTCCGGAGGTCCTGGGGCCCTGGCAGGATCTTCTGCCCCTGCCCCCAAAAATGTATGAAGAAGAAATACAGTTAACTCCTTTACCTGGCCACCCCGGATTCTAGAGCCCAGAGAGAGGGGTTCGTGGGAAGGAGGAGAGCTCAGAGGGGAGGGTGTGGGTGGTGGTGCCCCAGGCAGCTAGGGCCCGGCTGCAACTCCCCACCGCCCATTCTGGACAGTCCGCTTTTTCTGCCACTTCCTCCACCTCCTTAGTTGGTGGTCACTTGGTGGTCAAGGCAGCCGTGGCTGTGTGGGAGCGTGGGCAGGTCGGGGGGGTAGAGGCTTCATCTCCCTAGAGAGAGTGTGGGCAAGTGGCTTCCCACGGCCTTTCATCCCGTTCCCGAGTCTGTAAGTGCTTCTGAGGTCTGACCCGAGTCTCTCCTGCTGCTGCTGCCGAATTTCAGTTCAATGTTCCCGAATTGTGTACCACCGGGGGGCCTGGTTTGTGGGGAAAAGATAAGTGGGTCCTTTTCCTGGCCCTCAGCGGAGCTTAGACAAAGCCAGGACAGGTGGTTGCTGACCTGTATCTGTGTGACATCCTGTGGGGTCCCTGAGGGCCTGGGGTGGTGGAGGGGCTGGCCTGAAGATCCAACGGGGCTGGAGGACTTCTCCTGCCCCCAGATGGCCCTACGGATTAGCGGGAGATCAGGATGCATCAGCTCATGAGAATAAACCCTGAATGATCCCAAGTTGGGGCGGTGGTGAGGGGCGGGGGCCAGGGTTTCCCCGGTTCTGAATCCAGCATGAAGGCACTCAGAGTGGGGGTTGGTGGACATGCCCATTTCCCAGGTGGGAGGATTGAGGCCCAGGGCCCACCCGGCTGGGAGGAAGGACGCTCCATGGTCCCTGTGAGGGGTCAGGGGTCTGAGGTGGCCGAGGCCCCTCTCCTCTCTCCATTGGTTTCCTGCCAGAATTTGGAGTTTCTGGCCCCTGAATTAACTGCTTTAAAAACGTCACATCCCCACACCCCCTGTTTCAACATCCATGACCTGGGGGTTCAGGGGGACACTGGGGGGCCTTCCTTAGCTACCCACTTGCTCAGGACAGACCCTGCCTCACTTCCCCCATCAGCAAGCCCAACCCAAATGCAAAGAGCACAGGCTACCCCACTTCCTCCCTGGACGCCGCCCTCTGCCCCTTCCTTGCCTTCTGGCTGCCGGCAGCGGCATCTCAAGATTCACGTTCGTCCTTCTCACTTAAAACCTGCCATGGCCATGGCCTCCACGGCCCTGCAGAGCCCGGCTCCCACCCCCTCTCACCCCTTCTCACCTCCCTTCACACCCTTGCTCCAGCCCCAGGCCTCCCGGCTGCCCCGAAAGGCAAACTCCATGCAGCCACGGGACCTTTGCACTTGCCGTTTCATCCGCCCAGGGTGCAGTGCCCGCACTCTGCCTAGAGGCCCTTCTCCATTATCCACCCACATGTCACTTCCTCTGAGAAGCCGTCCCAGCCCACCCTGGCTAAAGTGGCCCCTCTGAAGCATCCCACTCATTTATCTGTCTGTGTGGAACGTTTGTCTCCCCCCTGGGCTGGGGGCCCTGAGGGAGGGCCGGGTCTGTCTGGTCGCCACGTGTCCCCCAGGCCTGCACACAGTCAGCCCCACAGTCTGCCCTGTCTTGGGATCACTCAGGAATCTTCCCCTGCAGGAGTCTCAGTTTCCCAATCCCTGACACCTGCCTGGGATCCGTAACTCACATCCGAGGGCTCAGGTCCTAATAATCCATCCCTAGCTCATCCTTAATCCCTGACCCCCCCTCCCTTCCCGGCCCCTAATCCCCTAGGATTTGCCCGATCCGATAGGTAATTCCTGGACTGCTTCCAGCCTGGTTCTTGGTTCTCTGACCCTGAAGGGAGGGAGCCGCTACCCTTGTTAACAGCGTCCCTGAGCAGCCACTTCAAGCTCCCAGGACACCCCTGCCCCTCGTCCGGCCCTGCCCTGCCTGGTCCTGGAAGAATAGGGCTGCTTGTCAGCTTCTGGAATTGGAGGGGCCCCAAGTGCTGGAGACAGGAGGGTGACAGCATGGTCCTGAGCTGTGGCCTGGAGGTCTGGCCGCCTGGGTTCCGTCATTTCACCACTTCCCACCTGGGTTTCTCCGTCTGCGCAGAGAGAAGGGTCGGGGCAGCTGCTGGAGCGGGAACTGGGCCCACAGTGGGGGCCCCGCTGATATCAGAGCCATGTGGGTGTGGCGCCCGGGAGAGGGTTCCAGGGTCTCCTGTCCACAGGGCGCTGGGGGTCGTTGCCACTGAGCCCCCGCACCCCACCAGGAGCCCCGGCCTTGCTGGTCTCTCAGGGCCCAGTTCCTGTCCTGGCACAGGCAGGAAGCGGGATCTGAGTGTTTCCCGATGGGGCCCGTTGTTTGTTAGGAAGGACTTTTCAATACGAGGTTTAATTACTGTCCCTGAAGGCCCTGGGTGGCTGAGGGCTGACTCAGGCCCCTGCAGGCCCCGACCCCGTCCCAGAGGTCTCTGGGTCCCAGGGGTCTCTGGGGCAGCCTGATGCGGGAGGGGCTGCCAGAGTTGGGCAGAGGAAGCATTGTGGCTCAGAGAAGGACAGTGATTAGCCCTGGGATGCACAGCCCAAGGGGGCGGGCAGGGCGAGGAAAGGGGGTGCTGGGGAGAGGGACCTGGATCCTCTGCCCCAGCCCTCAGTTTCCCCTCCTCCTACCCAATTCCAGGAGGACCAAGGGCCACAGGCCTGGGGGCGGCAGGCTGGCTTTCAGGTCTTTGCAACCCTCGCTGGCTGGGCCACCTCTCTGGTCTGTCAGTGGGGAAGTGTGGTGCCTGCACTCCCACCCCCACCCCCTGCCCCCAGAACAAAAGGAGGGAACGTCTATGACGAGTCGCCTGTGAAGGAGGGGGCCGTCTTCATCCTGGCCATTTACGCTGTGGTTACCCGACCCTGGTAGTTTCTAGGCCCCCCGATTTAGATGGTTTCTAACCCCCCCTCCTTGGTTTCCAGGCTCGTGCCCCTGGTCTTCCTGCTTGCTTTGTCCCTGGGCGTGAGCGTGCACTGCCGTGGAAGCTCTGGTGGTGGAAATGGGGAATAGGCAGGTGCGGCCCCTCAGTCAGGTTGGGGCTGGGCCCCTGGGGGTCTTGAGGATGAGTAGATGCCCCAGATCAGAGGTCTGAGCCCAACACCTTGTCTGGATTCAGGCAAAGGAAGGTCTTGAATTTGGAGCAGTCATTTGGGTTTTGCCCTTAACACTCACCCCAGATCATGTCAACCCTTTCAGCTCTCAAGGTCTCCATCCCCACACCGAGATGGGTTTCCCGGGCTCTCCCCATCATAGTTGGAGTCCCCATGGCCACTGGGAGAAGGCTCCAGTACATGTGGGCGGACAGAGCGGGGGGTGGGGGAGAAAGCCTCAAAGCCTGCCATTCCCTGGGCTCCTCCCGGACAGACAGGAGACTGAGGTTCCCAGGGGCTGGAGGGACTTGCCCAAGGTCACACCTGCCAGTGGGCGGGAACCCAGGTCTGGCTGCTGTCACCACGGTCTTAGACATTGGGTCCCTTCCAACCTTGGCTCTGGAAGACCAAGCTGCTGTGAACATCTTGTTACAAATCACTTTTTAATTTTTTTCTCTTCCTCTTGGATGATTTCCTTGGGATCAATTCCCCGAAGTGGAAGGCCTGGGTCACCCGGCAGGTGCGGTGCTGTAGCTCTTCCCTCGGGGGGCTGCTCAGAACAGAGCCAATTCACAGTGAGTCCCAAAACAGGGAGCCCAGTGCGGCCAGGCCAGCGCTGGGGTTTACGGCTTTCTGCTAATTTGGGAGAGTCCCTCCAGCCCTTGGGAACCTCAGTCTCTTCTTCTATCCATCCAGGAGGAGCCCAGAGAGTGGAAGGCTTTGAGGGTCCCCCAGGCCTGTCCTGCCTACACATGCTAGAGCCTTCTCCAAGAGGACATGGGGACTCTGGCCATGATGGGGAGGGCGCCGGGCCTACGGGAGAGCCCTGGAAACCCACTGCGGGGTGGGCGTTTCTCCCTGCACCGTGATGGGCAAAATCAGACGCATGACTCTGTTCAGAATTTGAGACCCTCCTTTGTCCGAATCTAGACAGGGGGTGTGGGCTTAGACCCCGATCTGGGGCATCTACTCATCACTGAGACCCTGGGCCTCGGAGGTTTTCTCTTTATGTATACGTGTTAACAGAAACATAACATAACAGTTAGCCTTTAACCCTTTAAAAGTGTACATCTTTTAATGTGTACACAGCGTGGTGCAGCCATCACCCTTATCACTCGCCAGAGCTTCTTCATCTTCCCAAACAGAAACTCCCCAGCCCCTACAGCCACAAACCCACTCTGTGTCTGTGGATCGGCCTGTCCTGGACGTTTCCCATCAATGGAGTCACACACCGTGGGTCCTTCTGTGTGCGGCTTCTCTCACTGAGCATCGTGGTCTCGGGGTCCACCGACGTGGTAGCGGGTGTCGGGGCTTCTCTCCTTTCCGTGGCTGCGTGACGCTCTGTGTGTGGAGGGACACATGTGTTTGTGTGTCCATCCGCTGGTGGACACTCGGGTTGCTCCCACACCCACACTCTGGCCATTGTGAATCGTGCTGCCGTGGACACTGGTGCACAAGTGTCTCTTTGAGTCCCTGCTTTTGAGTCCTTGGGTGAAGGCCCAGGAGTGGAATTGCGGGGCCACATGGTGACTCTAACTTTCTCAGGAACCGACAGGTTTCCCTTGGAGTGGTTTTCTTTCCTATTTTATCGATTGCCGCAGGGCTGGGCATCTCTCCACGTGGCCTTTGCTGCATCTGTCTGTCCTCGTGGGTAAATGCTGGACTCAGGACACTGTGCCCGGCCGTTAATATTCCTCAAATGGACGGGCCTTTTTCTGGGAGCACAGAATTCCCAGGTGGAGTTTTGGAATGGACCTCCAGGACTTGTATCGGTCCTGGGCATATTTGGCCAGTCATCCCTTTTTCGGGTGTATTTATCACATGAAACATCCAAGCCGTGGCCAAGTCCCGTCCCTCAGGCTCTTCCGCCACCTGGCCCTGCGCTCTGCCGGGCAGGCCTTGGCTTCTCCCTTTTTCCCAGACGGCCTGGCACCCTGGCCTCTGTCCGGTCCCCACCCCCCCCCCCCGGCTGCTACCTGAAATGGATGGACAGCCAGTGCCCCCTGTTCAGCTTTCCGGTGCCCCACTGGGAAGTCCGGCCAGGGTGGGGGTCCTGCACCTGGATGTCAAACTGTGGGGGTCTGGTGCCCACCCAGCACCTGCAGCCCCCGGCCGCCCAGCCACTCAACCCTCTTGGCTGCAGTTCCCACCCCCCACCCCCCCGCCCCTCCAGCTCCTCCGCTTGTCTGTCTTCCCCTCCTGGCTCGGCCCTAGTGCTTTTTGGACGGCAGCCTTGTGCCAGGCACGTTGGGCCTTCTTGGTCCTGGGAAACATTTAGTCAATTTTTGAGCGGCCTCTTGGACTCTTCCAGGTCTCCGGCTTCTTCAAGGAGAGAAGGTCAGGCTGGGCCAGCGAGAGGGACCTGGGCTGGGGGAGCCCAGCCGGCAGTGGAGTGCTGTCTGGGGCTTGGGAGGGCTTCCTGGAGGCGGGGTCCACAGTAGCCGGGGCCAAAGTCTCAGCTTTGCCGGAGGAGGCGAGCGCTGGGCTGGTCTTCAAAGGCGCATGCGCGTGTGGTGGGGCAGGCAGGCTCCGCGGAGGGCCCCGCGCAAAGGTGGAGGTGTGACCGCGTGACCGGCTGCACCTCGCCCCCAGGTTCTACTGGGACTTCACCATGCTGCTCTTCATGGTGGGAAACCTCATCATCATCCCCGTGGGCATCACCTTCTTCAAGGACGAGACCACGGCCCCGTGGATTGTGTTCAACGTGGTCTCGGACACATTCTTCCTCATGGACCTGGTGCTGAACTTCCGCACGGGCATCGTGATCGAGGACAACACGGAGATCATCCTGGACCCTGATAAGATCAAGAAGAAGTACCTGCGCACGTGGTTCGTGGTAGATTTCGTGTCTTCCATCCCCGTGGACTACATCTTCCTCATCGTAGAGAAGGGCATCGACTCCGAGGTCTACAAGACGGCGCGCGCCCTGCGCATCGTGCGCTTCACCAAGATCCTCAGCCTGCTGCGCCTGCTCCGCCTGTCGCGCCTCATCCGCTACATCCACCAATGGGAGGAGGTGAGCACGGCTGCACGTTGGCGCAGGGGCGGGGCCATGGGCGTGGGCAGGGTCGTGATGAGCGAGGAGGAGTGGTGACACGGATGCAGGCGTGGGGTCTGTGGGGTCGTGATGGGCTGGAGCGGGGCTAGGATGTAGGGGCGCGGGGTTGTGATGAGCGAGGGGGTGGTGATGGATGAGGATGCCGTGATGGCACCCGGCCATTGACTGCAGGAGGGGGGCAAGGAGGCACCAGGAACAAAAAGGCGGGGCCATGATGGGAGACTCTGGGCGGGGCTACCGGGGTCCAGGGACATGGTCACAGTGAGAGGACAGGTGGGGATACAGGCAAACGAGCGGGGTCATTGGGTGGGGCACTGGGCGGAGTTACAGGGACTGCAGTGAGGGGCCTAGGAACCTTAGGGGTGGAACCTGGGCCTCGGGGCGGGGGCGGGGGGCCACGGGGCGTGGTCACAGGAGCTTGTACCCGGTGGAGGGTGGGGGGGGGGCGTCACAGGGAGCGCAGCATGGACGCTTAACGCATCCGCACCCCTCTCCTTCCTTCTACCCTGTAAGAGGCATACTCCACAGCCCCGGTGGCAACGGGGAAACTGAGGCTCCGAGAAGCGAAATCACGCCCCTCTCCCCCAAGTTCAGACCCGCCTCTGGACTGAGTGTGACCTGATTCCTGAAGCCCGCGGCCACCACGCAGGCTCAGAGTCGCCGCCACTGTCCAGGACAGCAACTAGGCTCCGAGGCGGGGAGTGGGTGGGGACAAGGCTGCGGAAAGAGGCCGTGGTCCTGGGAGAGGGCAGTGGGCAGACGGCCAGGCAGAGAGATCTGGGCGCCCGGGGCGGCAGGCCGAGCAGGGGGCCATGTGCTCTAGTCTAGGGTGCTGCATTACCTTGAAAGGCAATGGGTCTCACAGGAGCGGGGGCCCCACCAGCCGCGTGGGGGGCGTGGTGAGGTGGGGCGGCTCCCAAGGGGAGTGGGCCCTGCGGAGGGCTTCGTCCTCCCACTGCCCGGGTCGCAAGAGGCCGTGGGCGGAGGCCTCTCCCTCGCACACCGTCTGCGGGACTCTCACGGACGCCGCCCCACCCCCCAGATCTTCCACATGACCTATGACCTGGCCAGCGCGGTCATGCGCATCTGCAACCTCATCAGCATGATGCTGCTCCTGTGCCACTGGGACGGCTGCCTGCAGTTCCTAGTGCCGATGCTGCAGGACTTCCCGCGCAACTGCTGGGTCTCCATCAACGGCATGGTGGTGAGCCCCGAGCCCCCCCGCCCCACGTCCGCTCCCGGAGCGCACGGCGCCTGAAACACTCCTCTGGGGGTGAGCGCCCCTCTGGGCTGCTATCCGACTTCGAGCCTTGCCTTGCAGACCCCGGGACCATGGAGATCTTTGACCGTTTGAGGGCTATAGGACAGTTTCTGCCCCCCAGGGATCGCGTCATCTGCTTACTGTGCGATGCATTCCACTTTTTAATTTGCATACGTGTATTTAAAAGACAGTTTTATATCATAGCCCTCAAATGGAAAAATGCTATCATGGGCCGTGAGAGATAAAAATTGGAGACTCACAAGCACCTATTACTTCCTGGCTGAGATGCTGAGTGTTAAAAGCTTTCCTCCTGCACGTGGGGCACAGGGCAGGTGGGCATTGACGGGCGGGAGCAGCGGAGGGAAAACCCGTGGGTGCCCAGCCGGCGCCTGGCACAGCTGCCTGGCTGAGGCAGCTCACTGTCTGGCCGGACACCCAGGCATGTGGTCCTGTTTCCTGAACGGGGCCCGCTGCCCCCTCCCCTAGCCAGGTCAGCTGAGGACTGGGAAGGGCTCCTGGTCCTGCCTGATGCCTCCCCCCTCTCCGCCCCTCTGATCAGATGCCAGTGTCCCCAACTCACTGTCTCCGGGGTCCCCGGAACTTTCCCATTCTCTTGGCCTCACAGACACTCTCATCAGAGGCTGAAAAGCGGCGGGGGCTCCTGAGCCCCCAAGGCTAGACCCTTGCCCCTCCGAGCCTCAGTCTCCCAGGACTGAAGTGGGGAGGCGGCTTCAGACCCACACCTGCTGCTGAGTTGCTGTGACGTGTGCGCACGGCCATGTCAGCTGCCTGAGTCTCAGTTTCCCTTGGTTACCTCTGGAAGACACGGAGCTCACCACCTGGATGCCTGGGGGAGGACGGGCAGGCGGGGCCCTGGGGGGGTGGTGTGTGTCAAGGGGCTCCCTGGGGGCCGCGAGCGCCCACCCACCCGCCCACCCCCCCGTGGCCTTGCAGAACCACTCGTGGAGTGAGCTCTACTCCTTCGCGCTCTTCAAGGCCATGAGCCACATGCTGTGCATCGGGTACGGGCGGCAGGCACCGGAGAGCATGACGGACATCTGGCTGACGATGCTGAGCATGATCGTGGGCGCCACCTGTTACGCCATGTTCATCGGCCACGCCACTGCCCTCATCCAGTCGCTGGACTCCTCGCGGCGCCAGTACCAGGAGAAGGTGAGAGGGGGAGGCACCCCCGTGGGTCTGGGGGTCCACCCCACATCCCCCCAGCTCTGTGGAGGAAGGAACTCTGGAGCCTGGAGGGGGACAGGGCAGGAGGGGTTGAGGGAGACACAGGCCAAGGAAGGGGACGGGAGCCAGAGGGGTCCGAACAGGACAGGGCCAGTCCAAGGGGCATCAGGGGGCTCCGGGGGGGGGGGGAAGGTCTCTGGGCCATCTCGGGAGGGGCTGGGGTCCTAGGGTCGCTCAAGGACACGGGGGAAGCCTCTGGGGGAGCAAGGATGTCCTGGCACTTGGCCTCGGTGGAGCCAATCCGAGGGCTGTGGGCCGGGAAGGGCCGAGAGAGGGCGGGTGCGACCCCACAGGCCAGCCCTTTCTGGAGGTCAGCCTCAGTCTCCCCTCCCTAAGGCCAAGGGGGGCCTGGTCCCTGGGACATCGCCCCATTGGCCCTGCACTGCTATCCGATGGCTGGCCTTGGCCAGGCAGCTGCAACCCCCCAAGCAGTGCCCAGCAGTCGGGTCGGCTGGGTCAGCTGGGCCTGGTGCCAGGCACCCCGGCTGTCCGGAAGCCACCAGCCTCCTACCCAAACATGAGCTGGTGCCGCCACCCGCCTGCCGTCACGGGTTCCGCTGAGCTCAGGGCAGCTGTGGCCAGGCGGGGCTGGGCTGATTTCTAGAAAGATCATTGGGGAGGGGAGCCAGGGCCACCAAAGGGTCTGGGACCTCTGGGGCGGGGGCCAGTCCAGCCCCCTCTAGGGGCTGGGGGTGGGGTGCTGGTGGCGGGAAAGGGTTGCCAGATGAAATTCAGGATGGGACTTCCCAGTGGTCCAGGGGTTAAGACTCCACACTGCCACTGTAGGGGACACGGGTTCCACCCCTGGTAGGGGAAGTTCTGCATGCCGTGTGGTATGGCCAAAAAAAAGGAAATTCAGGACATAGCAATAACTTTTTTTTTTTAATTCATTCATTCATTTCTGGCTGCGTTGGGTCTTCGCTGCTACGCGTGGGCTTTCTCTAGTTGCGGTGCGTGGGCTTCTCATTGCAGTGGCTTCTCTTGCTGTGCAGCGCGGACTCAGTAGTTGTGGCGCACGGGCTCTAGAGCGCAGGCTCAGTAGTTGTGGCGCACAGGCTTAGCTGCCCCAGGCTTAGCTGCTCCACGGCACGTGGGATCTTCCAGGACCAGGGCTCGAACCCGTGTCCCCTGCACTGGTAGGCGGATTCTTGACCACTGCACCACCAGGGAAGTCCCCTGCCCAGGATATCCTTATCTGGGGCATTTTGGTCGTTTATCTGAAGTTCAGATCGCCCTGGGCATCTCGTAGCGTGTTGCTGTTAAGTCGAGGCCCACTCGGAGCGGGGGCTCGGGAGCGGCGGCCGCTGACCCGGGCCCCCCCCCGCCCTGTTACAGTACAAGCAGGTGGAGCAGTACATGTCCTTCCACAAGCTGCCTGCTGACTTCCGCCAGAAGATCCATGACTACTACGAGCACCGCTACCAGGGCAAGATGTTCGACGAGGACAGCATCCTGGGCGAGCTCAACGGGCCCCTGCGGGAGGTGAGGTGGGGGTCCGCGTGCGGAGGAGGGTCCTGGGGGAGCCCCACGGGCCCCTGCAGGAGGTGAGGGGCGGGGTGCTCACTCCAGAGGCTCCAGGGAGGGTCCTTCCTGCCCCTCCCAGCTCCTGTTGTGGCCCATGGTTCTCGGTGTCCTTGGCTTGTGGACACGTCACCCGGGCCTCTTCCTTCATCTTCACGTGGCCTGTTTCTGTGTCTCTGTGTCCCCTCCTCTGTAAGGACACCAGCCACTGGGTTCAGCACGACCTCATCTTAACCAATCACACCTGCAAAGACCCTGTTTCCACATCTGGCCCCGTTCACACGTACCAGGGCTCAGGACTTCAGCGTATGATGGTGGTGGGCGGACGGTTCAACCCGTGACCCTCAGCAAGCAGTTACTGGGCGCCAGCCGTGTGCCCTGCCCTGTTTCCAGGGAGGTGGTGCCAGAGGGGAAGGTCTGGGAGGGACGGAGTGGGGAGGGGCTTGGGGCGACTTCACAGAGGCAAGTGTGAGCCTGCGTGGCCCTGAGGAGGGATAGGAACGGGCGCTAGGATTTCTTCTGAGGGTGGAGGTGCCTCCTAGCAGGCAAGCACTGTGGCTGCCTGCAATGAAAATATTCGCTGGGTAATTATTTTCATTCATTCACTCATTTACAGACAAACACCTTACAGACCACAAAATGCACGAAATGCCGTGGCGAGTGTATTCAGAGCGGTGCCACCACTGCCGCCTGATCCCGCGGCCTGGCCTCCCCGGCTGCTCAGGACACCCGGCCCTCACTCCCCACTCCCCTCCCGCCAGCCCCGGCGACCTGTGCTGGATCATTACTTAGGTGTTTACATAAAGTCAAATTTACAAAACCAGATATATTCAGAAAATGCCCGTCTTCTGTCCTGTCCCTCTGCCCGGTTTCCTCCTGCTCTCTCCGTCCATTTTCTGCCTTTTTAAGAAAACAAAGGCGGGCAGGCCTCCGGGGTGTCCGTGCCTGGCGCTCCCTCTCTGGGTCCTGTTATGCTTTGTGGGAGGAGCTCGCGGCACAGGGCAGAGGCGAGGGTGGGGTCGGGGCCCTGCCGGTCTGTCCAGATTCCCCTCAGAGGGCGCCACGAGGGAGACGGTCCCAAAACGCCCAGGTGAGAGGTGCACCCCTCAGGTGCGGTTCTCTTATTTTCCTGCCATCAGGGGCTTATTTGCATTTCTTTCTGTAAACTGTTCATAACTTTTGCTTGTTTTCCTACAGAACTTTTGGTCTTTTTGTTTTTATTATTTTTTAAAGATTGGGAGCGATTTATTTATTTATTTATTCATTTATTTATTTATGGCTGCATTGGGTCTTCGATGCTGCATGTGGACTTTCTCTAGTTGCGGCGAGCGGGGCCTACTCTTCATTGCGGTGCGCGGGCTTCTCATTGCGGTGGCTTCTCTTGTTGCAGAGCATGGGCTCTAGGCACGCGGGCTTCAGCAGTTGTGGCTCTCGGGTTTAGCTGCTCCGTGGCCTGTGGGATCTTGCTGGACCAGGGCTCGAACCCGTGTCCCCTGCATTGGCAGGCGGATTCTTAACGACTGCACCACCAGGGAGGTCCCTGGCCATTTTATCTTTAAAACTCGCTTACTGTGGTTTTATTCCCCCACGTGTGGAATTTTTATGCCCTGTACCTCAGGTGCTGCGTGTATGCTTGCTGTACACAGTAAGTGTTCAATGTGTGCTTGTGTAACACAGCGAGTGTTACAGTCTTCAGTGTTTGCCTTCTGTACGCAGCAGGTGCTCAACACCTGACTGCTGTACATAGTAGGTTCTCAATATCTACTCTCTGCGGACATCAGGCACACAATACATGCTCGCTGTATACGGCAGGTGCACAATACCTGCTTGCTGTACACACCCAGGCTTTAGAGGAATTTACCCACGTTTTCTTCTAATACTTGTAGAGTTTCATTATTGGCATGTAGACCCCCATCCATTTGGAATTTATCGTGGAATCTGGCGTGAGGAAGGGATCCGGTCTTATCTGCTGTGTGGGGCTGAACCATCTGGCTCTGCCCCGAGACTTGGTGGGGGAGGGGCACCTTAAGCTGAAGTTCCCTCCTGCTTGGGTCTATTTCTGGACTTTTCATCTGTCCCATCGGCCTGTCTGCTCTGTGTGCGCCAAACCCACTCTGCATCGCAGAGGTTTGCGTTTGCGATGTGCTTTGGTGTCTTAGAGGGTGAGTTCCCTCTCCCTGCTTGTCTTTGTCACGGGCTTCCTGCTACTTCTGCTCATTTGTTCTAAATGCACTTGACTAGCCCCGGTTATCGAGAAGCGAGCCGGGCGGCATTTCCACAGGGCTCTGTGTCCTGTATCCCTGCCCGGGGAGAATGGGTATCTTCCGTCTCGAAGATGGTGAGCAGCGCTCTCTAAGGACACAATGTGTTCAAGGCTCTTCTGTGCCTCTGGGAGGGTTTTCAACGTTTCCTCATATAGATTTGGCCATGTCTTGGTAAACTCGTGCCATGGCATCTTACTTAGCTCTTTATGTGGGTGGAAATGGGGTCTTCTCATCCATTACGTCTTCTTCGAAGTGCCTTTCGTTTGCCTGTACAAAAGCCGTGGATTTTTTTTTTTATTATTTATTTTTGGCTGTGTTGGGTCTTTGCTGCTGCACGCGGACTTTCTCTAGTTGAGGCAAGCGGGGTCTACTCTGTGCAGTGCACAGGCTTCTCATTGCAGTGGCTTCTCTTGTTGCGGAGCATGGGCTCTAGGTCGCACAGGCTTCAGTAGTTGTGGCATGCGGGCTCAGTAGTTGTGGCTCGCGGGCTCTAGCGCACAGGCTCAGTAGTTGTGGCGCACGGGCTTAGCTGCTCCGCAGCATGTGGGATCCTCCCGGACCGGGGCACGAACCCGTGTCCCCTGCATTGGCAAGCGGACTCTTAACCACTGCGCCATCAGGGAAGCCCGATTTTCTTTGTAAGGTAAGCAAAGTGCCCCGTCATTAGGGCACACCCGATGGATGTTCCATCAAGTGAAATCCCCACATGACCCCCACCCAGATCAAATATGGAGCATTTCCATCCCGCAGAAGCTTCTTTGCCAAGGATAACTGTCATCCTGACTTCTACCCCCGTGGATTCGTTTTAAGGATCTTCGTTTTCATGTTGGTTTTTTTAACCACTTGCTATTTTGACAAATTTCCCTTGTTACAGTTTTCCATTGACTCTTTTGGGTTTTTCAGGCAATCCCACTAATACAGATAGTAAAGAGATAGTTTTACTTTTTCCTTTCCAATTCTTACGTCTCTGAATGCTCTTCCGTGTCTAACTGCATCGGCCAGTATTGCCAACACAGAGTTCAACAGTAGAGGATCTTGGGAATCTTTTCTTGATCCTGTCTTTGGTGGCAGAACCTCCAGTGTTTGCCTATTAAGATGCTGGCTTTCAGGCTAACGTGTTAAATCCCTTTCACAAACCAAAGGTCTGAGAGGTGCAACAGTCCCAAAGGTAGGGTGCGATGGAGGAGCGAGTGTGCGCCCTGCCGTCACCCCCGCCTCCCACCCCTACAGGAGATCGTCAACTTCAACTGCCGGAAGCTGGTGGCCTCGATGCCACTGTTTGCCAATGCCGACCCCAACTTCGTCACGGCCATGCTGACCAAGCTCAAGTTCGAGGTCTTCCAGCCGGGTGACTACATCATCCGTGAGGGCACCGTTGGCAAGAAGATGTACTTCATCCAGCATGGGGTGGTCAGTGTGCTCACCAAGGGCAACAAGGAGATGAAGCTGTCCGACGGCTCCTACTTCGGGGGTGAGTGTCTGTGGGCAGGGGTGCTGGCGGCAGACGGAGGTCAGGGTGGGGAACCCGAGCAGCAGGAAGGCCCTGGGGTGGTGGGGGGGCGGGGCTGGACTGCTCTGCTGGCTGGGAGGGCCCTGGGGACAGCTGGCTTGGGCCGCTGGGTGTGGCCCAGCAGTGAGGACGCTGCCCCTGGCTGCACGCAGAGATCTGCCTGCTGACGCGGGGCCGGCGCACGGCGAGCGTGCGGGCCGACACCTACTGCCGCCTCTACTCGCTGAGCGTGGACAACTTCAACGAGGTGCTGGAGGAGTACCCCATGATGCGGCGGGCCTTCGAGACGGTCGCCATCGACCGCCTGGACCGCATCGGTGAGTGGGCCCAGCGGTCAGCCTCAGTGGCTGTCGGGGGGCCGCCTGAGGAGTGGGGTGGCATGGCCCAGCTGACCCTCAGGGCCCCTTCTGACCCCCGGGCCAGATTCCTTGACCCACTTTCTCCCTTGGCCAGACACGGCCCCGGTTTCCCAAGGATGGGGAAGTGGGTGTTTCTGCTCCCTAGGCAAATGTTTGAGCACCTACTGTGTGCCGGGAGGTGTAGATGTGGCCCACGAGGCTGACGTGGTGGCTACCCTCAGGCTTGTCACAGAGGAGGGGATGTCCTTGTGACTCCAAGTGGAGACCCAGATGGGTAGGCGTTGCCGGTAGAAAGACAGAGGCATGTTCTGGGAGTGGAGACGGCATGTGCCAAGGCCCTGAGGTGGGAAAGAGGCCTGGAGTCCAGGGACTCAGGGAAGCTGGGAGGGAGGCGGGCACCAGGCACATGAGGCCACAAGGCTGTAGAGGAAGGCGCTTGGGCTGTAGGTCAGAAGCATTGGGGAGCCATGGATGATCCCAGGCAGGGGAGGACCTGATCAGATGTGCACTTTATGAGTGTGGGCATATGGAGGAATCTGGTGGCCTGGCCTGTGTGTGTGTGGGGGTGGCTTTGGGTAAAGGGAGAGGTGGCCGGGCAGGGGGAACCTTAGAAATGGCTAAGGACTTGCTGAAGACTAGAGCAGGATTCAGAGAGGTAGAGGCCCTTGGTGCTATGTGTGGGAATAAAGACAGCGAATGGCTGGAGAAGCAAAATGGGGTGCGGTAGGGAAGAGTTGTTAAGACTTCCCAGTACGCAGAAAGCACTCAACGTGTTTATATTATAAGAGGCGCTTAAAATTTTGCTCTGTACAGTATCTGCTTCGATGTGTTTGCTACATACAGTAAGCACTCAACCCATGTTTGCTACGTACACGGCAGGCATTCAGCGTGCCGGCCGTGTACAGGCAGGAGTCTGCGTGCGCTGCTGTGCGCAGTAAGTGTCTGATACCTGCGTGGTGTACCCGGCAGGTGCACAATGCATGCTTGCTGTATACAGGAAGTGCTCCATGCATGCCAGCAGGATTTGGGCGTCTCGTACTTGCTCTGTGTGTGAAGCAGGTGCTTGACGTGTTTGTTTGCTACACACAAAGGTGCTTGATTCATGCTTGCTGTATACGGTAGGTGTACTAGTTCAGCTTCCTATACACAGCAGACACTTGGCATGTTTGCTGTGTGCAGGAGGGGCTCCATTCGTGCTGGCTGTACAGAGCAGGCACTCAGATGCAGGCCTACTGCACGCAGAAGGCGCGCCACACGTGTGTGCAGCGCACGGCAGCAGGCAACTCTGACGCGCCCCCCTCCCCTAAACCAGGCAAGAAGAACTCGATCCTGCTGCACAAGGTGCAGCACGACCTCAACTCGGGCGTGTTCAACAACCAGGAGAACGCCATCATCCAGGAGATCGTCAAGTACGACCGCGAGATGGTGCAGCAGGCCGAGCTGGGCCAGCGCGTCGGCCTCTTCCCGCCACCGCCGCCGCCGCCGCAGGGCGCCTCAGCCATTGCCACGCTGCAGCAGGCCGTGGCCATGAGCTTCTGCCCGCAGGTGGCGCACCCGCTCGTCGGGCCCCTGGCGCTCGGTTCGCCGCGCCTTGTGCACCGCTTGCCCCCCGGGCCCGTGCCCACTGCCGCCTCGCCCGGGCCCGCGCCTGCTGCCAGCCCCCCGGGCGCACCCTCCAGCCCCCGGGCACCGCGGACCTCGCCCTATGGCGGCGTGCCTGGCTCACCTGCTGCGCCCTGCGCTGGGCCCGCGCTGCCCGCGCGCCGCCTGAGCCGCGCCTCGCGCCCGCTGTCCGCCTCGCAGCCCTCGCTGCCCCACGGCGCACCCGGCCCCGGCCCCGGCCCCGGAGCCTCGGTGCGCCCGGCCAGCAGCTCCACGCCGCGCCTGGGGCCTGCGCCCGCCGCCCGAGCCGCAGCGCCCAGCCCGGACCGCAGGGACTCGGCCTCGCCCTCACCCTCACCTGGCGCCACCGGCGGACCCGACCCGCTGGACTCCGCGCGCTCACGCCTCTCGTCCAACTTGTGACCCTTGCGCGCCGCCCTGTGGCCCAGCCAGGCCGGGGCGGGGCTGTCACTCAGACCAAAGCCATGCCATTGCGCAGCCCGGGCCGCCCGCCCCAGAAGCCATAGAGGAGACGTAGGTAGTTGTAGTCGGACGGGCGACCCGGGCTGGCGGGACACCCCCGCCAAGCCACCCATCGCCCTGAGCCCACCCACATCGCCCCTGCCCCCGGCGGCCCCGCGCGGGCGAGGGGTCTCCCTTCACCTCGGTGCCTCAGTTCCCCCAACTGTGAAGCGGGGACAGGCCGGCCGGGGCCAAGGGGAGAGGGCCGTGGAGCCCCGCCCGCGCCCGCCCTCGCCCTCCAATGAGGATCTGTTTTTAAGTGCAATACTTAGCCCGCCGGCTTCCCGCTGCCCCCATCGCGCTCACGCAATAACCAGCCTGGTCCCTGTCCACACGCGTCCGCGGTGACCACCCCGGAGTGGGCACATACCACTCCCTCCAGCACCCCAGCGTGGGGGCGAGGCTGGGGGGGGGGGTCCCTGCCGTCATGGTGAATGTACTGACGAGCCGAGGCAGCAGCGCCCACCGCGCCCCCCACGCCCCACTAAGCCCCACGCCCCCATTCCGCGCAATAAACGACAGCATTGGCGCCCAGCCTGCCGCGTATGATCGCTCTGCCTAGTCCCAGCGCGCAGCCCGCCCCTCCCCGAGGCAAGCAGCCCCCACGTGATGACAGACCTTTATTCACACTAAGGTACAGGGAGGCAGCATGGGCCGTCAGCTGAAGAAGTACGTGGAGTGCTTCACCTGCTCCAGGTTGAATGTCCCTGCGGAGCAGAGCAGAAGGCTGGGGGCGGGCCCTGGCGAAGGCCCCGCCCCCAGCCCGGTGAGGGGCCATCCAGCCCTGGGCCTCACCTGTCTTGGGCACAGACAGCAGCGTGTCCATCAGCCTGGAGACCCAGATGCTCTTGGAGGTCCTGAGGGCAAAGGCCAGGTGGGGGTAAGGCTGGGGAGGGAGCGGCCTCTGTGGTGCTGGGCTGGGGGGGGGGCCTCACCTGGGGTCAGAGCAGAACCGCTCGATCAGGAACCTGGACAGGTTGTGGAGAATGGGCTGGCTGTGCAGACGGACAAACTGCTCGCGACAGACCTGCGACGGGGGGGGGGGGGGGGGGGGGGGCCCCCCCCGACCCCCCCACACCGGGGGGGGGGGGGGGGGCGGCGGGGGGGGGGGCGTCAGCAGCCAGGAACCAGGCCCAAAGGGCAGGGGGACCGGGCTTCCCAGGTCAGGAGGGGATGAGGTCGGGGGCGCGAGAGCCGGGGGTGTCCGCCCTAGTGGGGGTGGGCCTGCACCTGGTTCATGACCGCAACGTCAGCAGCGTGGGTCCAGAAGCAGTCGTGCACCGAGACGAAGGTCAGGCCCTTCCTGCGGCAGCAGTGAGGGGCCCCAGTGGAGAGGCCACGCCTTGAGGTCCCCTCCCTCACAATCCACACCCCACCGCCGCCCAGCACTGGCCCAGCTCTCACCTCAAGCCCCTCCCCACCGCTCAGCCGGGGGGCCCACTGTCCAGTGACGCCCACTCTCCTCTCGCCCCTCACCCCCACACACTCCAGCAGCTGTCTGTGCGCCACATGTGCCCCTCAGCAGGCAAGTGACAAGTTCTCCTCTTAGGAAGAAGCCTCTTTGCCACCCTACCCCCAGCTGCCACCCAACTGATTCTCAGCTTCCCGTAGGGGATGGCTGAGGCTGGGCCCCCTTCCACCACAGGGCTCCATCCCAGGGGTCCCCGAGCCACCCCAGGGGGGCACAGGAAGAACACAGAACTCCCACAGCAGTCTGGCTCAGTGCGGCCACACCCCCCCACAGGAGCAACCGTTTCCAACAGAACCGTGAGAAACTAGACACCCTCTGCCTGCCCTGGCAGGTGCACACACGTCAAGAGCAGGCCACACAGCAGGCTGGGCCTGCGGACCCTCCGACGGCCAGCTGCACACTTGGAGTCCCTCCCCTGCCCAGTCAGCCGCATCCCAACCCCTCCCTGCCTCGAGGCCTGTCGCCTCCGGGGCACCAGGTCCCCCAGACCCCCACAGCTTCGGTCCTCGCCTGACCCTATCTCCAGCGGGCAGCACCCACCGCGGGGTCCCCAGCCCTGGTGCACCTGTAGCAGTGCAGGGCCGTGAGCATCATGTGTGAGGAGTCCAGTGAGTGGATGAAGTTGGGCGGGAAGCCGTTCTTCTGCTTCAGCGTGTTGGGCTTCCTGGGGGCAGGTTGCAAGGTGGGGGACTCTGGAGCCTCAGCCCGGCCCGGCCCAGCCCCAGTGGCCTCCCGGCCCAGGCGCCCTGGCGCCGCCCCCCCACCCTGTGCACTCACTGGCTGGTGTCCACGCTGCTGCTGAAGGTGAGGCTCTGGAGCCCGCCTTTGATCTGCAGGGTAGGGGCGGTAGGGGCAGGGGCGTTGAGTCCTGCCTGGTACGGCTGGAGGGGGGGGGGCAGGGGCGGGGCTGCACATACCATGACCTTGGAGTCACGGTGGTAGGGCTGGATGATGGGGATGCCCAGGGGCGTGACCCACTCCACGGCCGAGCCCGTGTGGGAGATGAGCCGGGCGCTCTCGGTCAGCCAGCGCTGCAGGGACGGACACCGGGCTCAGGGGGGCCGGGTCTGGGGAGCCACGGCCGACGGGGGGCAGGGGGAGGATGAGGCCTCACCTGGATGGACCGGGTGCCCGAGAACATCTCCTGCAGGCTGTTGAACACCTGGCGCACGAGGTAGTGAGAAGCCTCCCACACGAAGTCCTGGGGAGAGGGCGAGGGGAGGGCGTGGGCGGGGCCCAGGTTCCCTCTACAACGCCTGATGGCCCTGGGCCAGTGACCTCGCGCACTCTGAGGGGGTGGGCTCGCTCCCATGGGCCCCGCTGGAGGACCCCACGGTGGGCAGAGACAAGACCCTGTGTCAGGATCGCCTGCTGCCCAGTGGCCAGCAGGATCTGGAGTCTCGGCCCCGCGCACCTGGGGGAAGTCGTGGATCTCCCGGAGGCGCTTCTCGATCTGCAGGCGGCCCCCGTAGCGGGTGACCCCGTACACTACGGTCATCACCGTCTGCTTGACCACCTTGCGGCTGATGAAACCCTCCAGCACCTGGGCTACCTGCACACCCTGTTCCGCGTCCTGCCTGCGGAACACCTCCACCTGTTGTAGCAGGGGTCAGTGGGCGGGGCATCAGTGGGCGAGGCCCTGCCCACCCAGAAGCCTCCCACCCCGAGGCTCCTTCTCTTCCCGTGGACCTCACCATTGCCCCCTCTGACACGTCCCCCAGGAACCCTGCCTGACTGCCGGGTCACCTGACAGTTGGCGGCCGTGGCAGTGGGGTCCACAGCACCCAGATGTTCAAAAGACAGACCCGGGTGGGTCTGGGCGATAAGAGCAAGCGGGGGCGGGGTGGGTGCGCACCTGTGCAGCCACCTCACTGTACACGTCCTGCGGCAGGTCCGAGGGCAACAGGTTGACAGAGGCGGCCCCCACGCTGTCCCGGCCCAGGGCAGCGTAGTGCTGCAGGCCGTTACAGGAGCCGTCCTGGGTGAGGGGTGGAAGAGTGAGGCGCAGGGAGCGAGGGGCGGGGCAAGGCGAGCTCCAGGCTTCCCCAGCTCCGCTCACAGCAAGCTCCCTGGACCTCCCACAAAGCGGAACCGAGGCACAGAAAGGGGGGGCGGCGTGCCTGCACAAGCTGCTCACCGTGGGAACACCAGCCTGTGCAGAGTGGGATGGCCAGGTGCCAGACACCCGTGCCATCCCTCGGCACCTCAGCCCGAGCGAGACACCTTTGGCAGGGGCCCACAAGGGCAGGGCATGCTCCACACCAGAGTCCCCCAGCTCACCTGGTGAACTGGGAAGTGGGAGACGTAGGCGGTGGGGTCGGGGGCACGCACCGCCCGGGCAACCTCCATGCAGCAGGCCAGGGCTTGCCAGGGCTCATCCGCCTCCATCCACCACTTGCGGCCCTGCAGGAAGCAGCGGGCTGGGTGAGGCCAGGCCTGGTGGGGTCAGAGCCAGCCTGCGGGCACTTCCTGGGCGGGTCCAGGTGTCATGGGGACAGGCGTGGAGAGAGAACAGCAGTGATAGACCAGGGAGGGGCCAGCCTGGAGGGAGGCCTATTGTGGCATGGGAGTCTGCTGATGGCCCAGGACAGAGGGAAAGACAAGCAGAAGGCTGCCTGAGAAGAAGCAGGGGGTGGGGGGTGCCTGCATGGGTCTGAGGTGGGTGCCGCAGCGGCCAGGAGAGCCAGACGGTCAGGGGTCAGGGGTCAGGGCCCAGCTGCTGTCCTCCCCACGCCACCCACCGTCATGGGCCGGTCCGCCGAGTCCAGGATGTCCTCCATCAGCTCGTCCGCATAGTCCCGGCGTGCCTGCAGCGACTCGCGCTTCTTGAGCCCCGTGAGGTTGACCAGGTGGATCTTGAGCCAGTTGAGGCCGTGGGGGCCGAGCGGGCGGCCCTGGGCGAACTCCAGCAGTGCGCGGGCCAGGTCGCTGCCCAGGTGGTTGAAATGCGGTGAGCACGGATAGGTCCGGCCGCGGAAGTCCATGTTGTGCGGCAGCCAGAAGACACGGTGCCGCAGGTGCTGGGCCAGCGACAGGCGGTACAGTGCATCGGCGCGCAGGCTCTGCATCTCCCGTGCCACCTTCAGGCGCCGGGCCAGCTCCCGCCGCATCTCAGCCTTTTCAGCAGGCGAGACCTCGGGCAGCAAGCAGCGCTTGGGAGCCTGACGGCCCTCGGGTGGCCGGGGGGCCTCGGAGGGCGGGGCGGGCACACCCAGGCGAGGGCAGCCCTTGTCAGTGAAGAGCTCCAGCACCAGGTCCAGCACGCGCCCGTTGACCCGCCAGGCACAGTTGCCCAGCTGGGTGAGGGCATCCAGGGCGCCGTGCAGCTCGGCAGGCGGGCAGCGCTCCAGCAGGAGCTGGTGCTGCTGGCTGCCCTCCACTGAGCGCATCATTCTGGTGGGGCTCAGCAGAAAGGCGCCCGAGTGGGGCGACGTCCAGGGCAGTGGTGGGCACAGCATGGGCACGTCCGTCGACTCAAAGGTCAGTGTGCGCTCTGCCGCCGTCTCCAGCAGCTGCGTGAAGGCCGGGTGAGGCTTCAGGATCCCGATCTGGGGGCGGGGCAGGCAGAGAAGGTCAGGGGGCTGCCCCAAAGGCAGTGGAGAAGGGCCCTGGGGTCCCCTCAGATGCCCTGACCCTGAGACCAGGTCTGGGGCCACAGCAGAATTCTGGCAGGATCCCACCATGGCCCAGGGGCCCTGCACCACCCAGAGCCCGCAGCCTCCTCGCACGCCCGTCCCCACAGTGGCCCACCTGGCGGAAGCTGCGGAAGGAGTACACGTGGTAGAGCACAGGGATGAGTGTGCCAGGGCTCCGGGGCGCTGCCAGGCTGCTGGGCATCTGCGCGGCCCGCACCAGCACCTCCGCCAGCTGCTTGCCCAGCTGCACCACCACTGACATGGGCCAGGGCTGCTCGTGGGGGGCCTCAGGCACCCCCAGTGCCTCCCAATGCTGCCGTGGCAGGCACGGTTCCGCCACCTGCGAGCGGGAGGGTGGCTCAGGGGGATGAGAGTCTGGGTGCAGAGCTGGAGACCCCCACCCACCCCCAGGGAGGGGTGAGCTGACTGCTATCCCAGGGTTAGGTGAGGAAAATGAGGTGGAGTCTGGGGGCAAATCCAGCCGCCTCAGGAAAGGGGAGAGGAGAGAGGGGAGGGGACCTCCGCTCGACGCCTGGGTTTCCCCACCCAGGCTCCCTGGGCCTCACCTGGGTGTCGGAGGCCAGCAGGTGCAGGTACTTGGAGTAGCGCTGCTCCAGTTCCTGCACCTCGTTTCTGAGCTGCTTCCTCTTGAAGACGCGCAGACCCAGCTCGTGTGCCAGGAAGAGAAGTGACTCTCCCTGCGCGGGCAGCGCCTGCAGGGTCTGGAGGGCAGCGAGCACCATGAGCCCCGCGCTCCGTGTGGAACCCGCAGGCACACCCGCAGCAGCCCCTCCCCCCGGCCCCGCGCGCACCTGCAGCAGCATCCTCACAACCTCCTTCTCGCTGAGCAGGCACAGGTACGGGAAGAGTGAGAGGCGGCCTTCTCGAGCAGCGTGGGCCTCGCTCTCCTTGGTCTCTTGCAGCTCCCGGTACAGCGCCGTCCTCCATCGGGTGCGCAGGCCTGCCAGGGTCTTCCGCTGGGGGGAGGGGGTACACAAGGAGTCATCACCGTGCCCACCCAACCCTGCAGCCCGCGAGGCCCCAGCCCTATGCCTGGCAATGCCTGGCTCAGTGCGGGGGGTGGGGGTGGGGGGGTGGTTGCCGTGCAGCCGGCCTCCCCCACGCGACCCTGCCCAGGCAGGGGACGCCCAGCTCGGCCGGAGCGGACCACCCCCCAGCCCCTTACCGCATGCAGGACCTCCTTGGTCAGCAGTGGAACCTTCTCCACGGACTCCACGGTGATGGTGGTGGCCATCTCCACGCGAAGCTGCTGTTGGAAGAGGCCCTGCAGCTCCTTCAGGGACAAGTGCAGCCTCGGGTAGGACACAGCGGGATCCTGCTGGTGGCAACAGGCTGGTGGTGAGGTCCCGGTGCCTGACCTCTCGACCTGAGTGCCCCAGGGTTCCATCCACACCCGAGGTCAAGAAGAGCAGCTGCCCACCGTACACACGCAAGGACCCCCACCCGCCCCCCTGGCAGAATCACAGTCATTTTCCCAAGTCTCCTGAAAATCATCCATCCTTAACGCTGCGGGGAGAGCAGGGCCCAGGATAGTAAGACAACGATGCTGGTGTGACAGCACCTGCTGGCCTTGCCAGGCGGGCAGTATGCCCAGGAAGACAGTGCGAGTCCCCGGATGCTGCCGTTTTCTCTTTAAACTTGCAACTGTGTGAGCGTGTGACCCTTCCAGAAATAGATAAATTAAAAATAGCGAAACCCAACACACACACTGAGAATCCAAAACATACATCCACACAAAGACCTGTCCACAGCCACAGCAGCACGGTTCACAATGTTTAAAAGCTAGAAACGACCAAAGTGTCCGTCAACAGATGATAGATAAACACAATGTGGTCCCTCCACACACGGGAACATCACTCAACCCTGAGAAGGGGTGAAAGCCCTGACACTCGCTACAGCGTGGATGGACCCTGAGAACACGATGCTCAGTGAGAGAAGCCAGACACAGAAGGACACACAGGGTGTGATTCCATTGATGGGAAATGTCCAGAACAGGCCGATCCACAGACAGAGGGTTAGTGGCTAGTGGTTGTCAGGGGCTGGCGGGGGGGGGCGGGGGGGTGGGGGGGGAATGGGGACTGACTGCTGATGGGGACGGGCTTCCTTTCGGGATGATGGAACGTTCTGGAATTACATAGAGATCAATATACTAAAAAGAAAAACAAAACTGAATTACACTTTAAAAGGTGAACTGTAGAATAGGAGAATTATGTCCCAGTAAAAAGAAAAAACCCAGTGCCTCAAGGTGTCATGCTCTACTCCACCCTGGGAGGTGGGTGTGGCCTCGCCCGCTGCCTGCCGCCTGCGGAGTTAGCTGTCCAGTCTTAGGGAGGGCACACAGACCCTGCGACACCCCGACGCTCGGCCCACGGCTGCATCGCCACGTGGAAACCCAGGACGGTGCGGCATGGGCCCCCCACAGCAGCCTCCCTCCCGCCAGCATGGGGGTGGGTGGGGCCGACCCCGCCAGGAGAGACGGGAAGGGGCCGAGGCACCCGGAGATGACAACCCCCCCCCGCCCCCCGCCCCCGGCAGGTGCCAGGCCACAGGCCCCAGCTCACCTTGGCGTAGATCTCCCGGAGCAGCGGCGAGGTGTTGACCTGGGGCGAGGGCACGGGCGGCCGCGGGGGGGTGAAGGTGGGCTTGGCCTTGCGCACGGCCCGCAGGAGCTCAGCCCGCTCCTCGGCGCTCAGCGGCACAGCTGTGAAGAGCCCCTGCAGCTGTAGCCCGTCCTGCGCCATCTGCTTCAGGCACCTGCAGGGCACACACACCCGGCTCACAGCGCCAGTGCCCGGGGAGCCCCAGGGATCCCAGCCCCCAGCTCAGCCAGGCCACCCTACACCGACCCACCCACCTTCGGATGGTACCAGCATCCTGGTCCAGGCGCCCCATGCACTGCAGGGCAGCCGCGTAGGACTGCAGGTCCGGGGCGAGGCCGGCGTCTTTCAGCATGAAGAACACGTACGTCAGCTCTTTGAAGGAGCCCTGGGGGAACCAAGCGGGGTGAGGGCCTGCGGGGGGGCCGGGTGTGGGCGGAAGGGAGGCCCCAGCTCGGCCCACAGTGCTCCCTGCTGCCCGCCCACTCCTCTACCCAGTTTCCCGGCGACCGGGCCTCCTTCCTCCACACAGGCCTCCCCGCTAACTTCCCCTGTGGTTTCTCCTCCAGCCCACTGGTGGCTCAGGAGAGATGCCACAGACCCTTCCAGAGAGAGGCATTCCCAGCACCCCACCATGTGTCCTGCACCCTGTCTGACAGGTGCTGCCACCCCAGACCACGTGCCAACAACTGGGTCCTAGGTGCTTGCCTGCACGGCCCGGGGTGGGGGGCAGGAAGCGGGGGCTGCTCAGTCCGGTAGTCACCAACCACAGCGGCCACTTAGCTTAGTTTAACTTAAATACTTGCTTCAACAGCGACAGGAGCTGGAGCAGGTGAGGAACACTGGCAAAGTCACAGAAAGGCCTACCGGACGCTGCTGGTCCAGATGCAGCCCATCTATCCTACCTCTAAACACTCGCAGCAGGAGGACTTCCCTGGTGGCGCGGTGGTTAAGGATCCTCCTGCCAACGCAGGAGACATGGGTTCGAGCCCTGGTCCAGGAGGATCCCATGTGCCGCGGAGCAACTAAGCCCGTGCGCCACAACTACTGAGCCTGCGCTCTAGATCCCACGAGCCACAACTAAGACCTGATGCAGCCAAATAAATAAATAAAAAGTGGAAACAACTTTTATTAAAAAAAAAGAAAAGAGGGCTTCCCTGGTGGCGCAGTGGTTGAGAGTCCGCCTGCTGATGCAGGGGACGTGGGTTCGTGCCCCGGTCCGGGAAGATCCCACATGCCGCGGAGCAGCTGGGCCCGTGAGCCATGGCCACTGAGCCTGTGCTTCCGGAGCCTATGCTCCACAATGGGAGAGGCCACAACAGTGAGAGGCCCGCGTACCACAAAAAAAAAAAAAAAAAAGAAAACTCACAGTAATGTCACCACCACCACGAAAACATGCGTTCGAACCTTCACAGTGTTAAACACATACATACATGGGGTTGGAGCCCTGGATTACAGCCCTCACTCCTCCCAAGATGGGAAACCCAAGTGTCAGAGGGAAGGGAGGGGTGTGGCCACGGGGAGCACGTGGCAGAATGGGACCAAACTCAGGTCTGGGTGGCAGCCAGGCCTGCCCGACATAGGCTGGCTGCCTAGGGCCCCCAAAACTCACATCCACCTGGAACCTCAGAAAAGGGCCTTATTTGGAAACCGGGTCCCTGCAGGTACAGGGTGCAGTTAGGATGAGGTCACACTGGAGGAGGCCGTGTGACCACCGAGGCAGAGATCAGAGGGACGCGGTCACAGCCCAAGGGACATCGCAGACCCAGGAGCTGGCAGAGGCACGAAGCACCCTCCCCTGGAGCCTCCAGAGGGAGTGGGGCCCTGCCACGCCCTGACCTCGGACGTCTGGTCGCTGGGACTAAAAGAAAACAAACTTCTGCTACTTTAAGCCTCCCAGTTTGTGTTCATTTGTTCGGCAGCCCCAGGAAGCTCATCTAATCAGAAACATGCTGCCGTAACAGGACGCTTTGTTGGGGGGACGGCGGAGGCCAGAAACCTGGGAAGGCAGACTAACTCCTGGAACTGAGTGCCCTCCTGCAAAGACAATGCAGGCAAGAAGCCCCCCGTGACTGTCGCTGTGGAGGCCTTGGGAGCCTCCCAGCGCTATCAGGCAGCTCTGGGCCGCGTTCTGTGCGTGAGTCAGCACAGCGAAGTCCCTGCCGCCAACGTGCCTTAGCGAGTCGCACCTGTGTCTTCACACAACTGTTTCCCTTGTTTGCCCGGCACTAACGCTTTCCCTGCTGCTCCTCAAATGAGGTCGCAGACCCACGGGAGGGAGGGTGTTGGGGAAGTTTTCACAGCAAGGGCGCTTAAGCAACACTCCTCAGCAGCCACAGGTCAGAGGAGAAATCGCAGGTGAAAACAGAAGACGTGGGAGAGGGAAGCAGCTAAAGCTGTTCCCAGAGGGAAAGTCACAGCTGTGAGTGTCTGCATTAAAAAGCAGGATCCCACCTAGGAAACTCGAGACAAGAACAAGCCAGATGGAAAGCACTGAGGTCGCAGCCCCAGGGAGGGTCTGCAGCGCCCCTCGCACCAGAGCCGTGGTCAAGTAACCAGAAGGAAATGCTCTGAACCAGAGCACAGCTTCATTTTCACACTTTGCTTTGAAGGCCACGTGTGACTCATAATCGACAAGCCTAAAGAATTATTAAAACAAGAAAAGACAAAGGCCTGAGCCCTGGGGCTAAAAGACAAGGGTTCGAATCTAAGTGCCCCCAAGTTGGCTTCTGCCTCTGACCCCGGGGCACTCGCTCCCTGGGCCCAGTCACTCACCTGGCGAGCCCAGCCGAGCATGACCATGTTGTACATGGAGAGCGTGAGCAGCCGTTGCTGCTGGGACTTGCTGTGGTGGGTGACCAGCACGTGGTGGGCCAGGGGCAGGTGGCCCGTGAGCAGGCAGCACTCAAAGAAGGACAGGAGCCTCTGCTGCTGGCCCTCCAGCCGCGACTCGGGGCCTCTGTCCGCCGGAGCCGCCGCCGCCTCGCTGCTCAGCCTGTGTGGGGCCTCCTGCAGCAGCTGTGCCAGCTGCTCCTCCCACGGGCTCCGGGGCGCCCCCTGCTCCCAGTGCTGCAGCTGGCCCGCCAGCTTCCTGCTCAGCAGCCGGGGCTCCAGGCGCAGCTGCTTTTGCCAGGCCCCCTTCTCCACACGCTTCCGCAGCTTCCCCTCCAGCCGCTGCTTGCGCTTCTCCGTCAGCTGCTGATCGCTGTCCAGTTTCTGCGCCCAGCGGCTGCTGGGTGTGGCGGCGGCCCCCTGGGCCCCGGCCTGGGCCTGCCTGGGCGGCTGCGCGCCGCCAGCCTCCGGGGCTCGAGCCACGGTCACCCTCTTGGCCACCCTCTTCACCGGCACCTCTGCCACGCCCTCGGCCTGCAGCTGCCGCACCCGCGCCTTGAGCACTATGGGGCAGAGGGCGAGACGTCAGGGGACCCCGCTGCCCAGGAGGCGAGAGACCTCAGCCCCATGTGTCTGCTGACCACCGCCAACGTCCCTAGACTTACCTCGTTGGCCACGCACGCCCCACCCACCCAACCAGCACTCATCCACCCGAGCCACTCAAACCCAACGTCCCAAACAGGCTCCCGGTGTTGCCCACAACCTGCCTCTCTGCGTCTTCCTCCACCCCCCCAAGCTCTGTCCTTCCCAGCCTGACGAAAAGTCACAGGTCGTCTGCGACTCTCCCCCGCTACATGCAGCCCGTGAGCGCCTCCTCAGGGCTCTGCCTTCAAAATCCACCCGGGTGCCGGCACCTCCCTGCCCCTCCCACCCCCACTCCATCCGTAATGGCCTCAGGGCCTTTGCACGTGCCATTACCCCCACACCCCACCAGCCCACACAGACAATTCACAGCCCGCCGCTGCCCCGTGCCACTTCACGGACAGTCAGCTCTCAGGACCTGGGGCAGTTCTGTTCTACAGAGTTTCAGGCCACTGAGCTGGTGAACAGGGAACCACCACTCCCAGGCAAACACGGGGCTCCTGAGAGCCCGTGGTCATACTTCCACCAACAGGTCCACACATAACACTGTTTTGTGAGTTCTCATCTGAGATATCTTATTTCCTATGTATTGCTAATTCACTAACATCGAACTCACAGCCAACACTCCTACAACTCACCCCTCAACAAAGCTTGTCGAACATGCAGATTTTCTACAAAAGGCACGTCACAGCCCCGTTGAGCTGAGGAAACTAGACAGCACCCCAGCACCAGGTCTGGGGCCATTTTAAACTGCAGAAACACCAACGAACAGCACAAACTGCAAAAACGTGGCACCAGATACACCCTAAAAAGGATGCCTGTTGACAGGGCGTCGCCCGGCTCCACCTCAGCTGGGAAGGTGTGCATCGGCTTTGGGGTTACAAGTTCAGCTGGTAGGAGACTTTGCAAACACAGAATCCGCGAACGTGAGGACCAAGGGTATCCATCTCCTGCCTGCGCCTGTCTCACTACAACATCGGCCCCAGAGAGAGCTGGCCCAGAGCAGAAACACAGGCGCGGCCCTAGCCTCAGTGTCCGGAGACTCGGCAGACCCTTTCTGCACGTGTGGGAGAGTGTCCGGCGGCAAAGCGTCGGGCAGGACACGAGGCAGAAGCAGGACGTGGGCACAGGTTTCCCTTGGAGGCGGCTGCATCCAAGCCACCTGGGGGGTGACCCAGGACAGGCAGGTGCAAAGCTCCTGATGCCAGAAGCCGAGGAGGTAGGCAAAGGCCTGGAGGTCTACGGCCCTCAGTGGGGGTCTGGAGATTATTCTGTGAGAGAGGAAACAGTTGGACGGTTCAAGGCTGGGGAGTGAGATGAAGTGATTCAGATTTCCAGACCCTGGGCTTAGCTTTAAAATAATGAGATGGGTGAGAAACGAAAGAAGGTTGCTCTTGAAGCCCATGGGACCTGTGGCTTCACATCTGCGTGTTTGGGGTTTTCTGAAATTAGGTGTTATTTTTCAAAGCCTCCCCCACCCCACTCCTGGCTGCTGGACACACACTGGACGAGGGACAGGAGGGGAAGCAGGAGGCACTGGACGTCTGGGAGGGAGAGGACAGTGAGGCGGCGAGAAGGACAGATGCCCCCCCACTTGCTACAGAGGCCGCCAGGACCTGGCTGTCCGTCCCAGGTGACAAGGACCACGAGTAGACCCCATCATGCGCCCAAGCCCAGGAAGCTGAGCCAGGACCACTGAGCTTGGTCATGTCGCAGCTCAAAGCCCAGCTCTGCACGTGCAGCGGTGGGTGGCCTTGAGCCAGTCTCTCCAGCCACAGATCTGGGCCTCCACTGTCTCATCTGGAAAGGGGGAGCCCCTGCTGGGACGAGGGAACTACAAGAGCTCGTTGTGTACAGCACTCGCTTCACCGTGGGAGCCCTCGGACCACCAGAGAGCGGGACCCCATGAGTCACCCCACCTTACAGACTGACATCCCTTCTCACCGGGGTCCCTGTGGGGAACCAGGGAGGCGGTTCCCAGCAGCGCTGCCGACGGGGGGACAGCGAGGAAGGGGCTTCAGGCCCCAAACCTCGGGGGTCAGGCTCACCCTCCAGCAGCTCGGCATGGCCCCAGTCCTTCCGGCGGTCCTGCTCACAAGGGCTGGCAGTCGAGCTCCTCTTACGGCTCCAGGAGCCACCAAGAGCCCCTGCAGGAAAGACCAGGGAGGCTGAAGGAGGCGGGCATCAGGGGTGGGGGAGGGAGGGCCCTGACAGGGGCAAAGGAACCCTAAAGGCAGTGGGAACTGTCAGTGGTCACCGGTCTCACACTGGAAAGAAACTAACAGGACAAAAGTGAAGGGGACACCACGGGCAAAGGAAAAAAGAAAACTGGGGCGTGGGGTGGAGGATAAAAGGTTCGTCGAACTAAGGCACAGACAATCCAAAGGTTAAAAACCCTAAACCGTAAATAGTGGGTCATGGGGCTCCAAAAGAAATCAAGGGTCGAAGATCAAAGTGCCCCGCCGACCCCTGTCCGGAGAGTGGGCCAAGGGCGAGTGAAAGCGGGGTCGAGTCACTGGGTTTCCCAGAACTCCCAAGAGCAAAGGGCAAGGGTCGGAGGGAGCTGGATTCCGAGGGTCGAGAAGCCAAAGGTCACGGCCGCGGGTGGGGGGGCAGGGCAGCGGTTCCGGGACTCCCCTTCATTACCTTCCTCGGCCAGGAGGCCGGGGGGTCCCGCCGGCCACAGGGCCCTCCCGAACCCCGCCGCGCCGCGGCCCCAGCGTACAGCTGACATGCCGCCAGCACGCGGAACCACCGCGCCGCCGCAACGCACATGCGCCGCCCGCGCCCGCCGGGAGTTGTAGTCCTATGGCCTACGGCGGCCGCGAAGGGACCACGCGCCTGGAGAGCGCGGGAGGAACCACAATTCCCAGGGGGCATCGGGGCGCCGGAGGCGGGGGGCATGCGCCGGTGGTGCCCGCTGATTGGCTGTTCCCTGTCGAGGCGGGGCGGGACAGAGCCGTTGCTTGGGCAACACTGCGAGAATCTAAGCCATCTTTGGGAGGACCCGGAACCTGCGTTTTGTTGTTGTTGTTGTTGAAGGAATAGTCGCCAAATAATTAGGACAGCGTTCTGCAATTTAGAGATTCCTATCCGCGATCTTCATTGATCCAAAGATAGCTCTGGGGAGGGAACTATTACTATCTCCCGTTTATTGTGGAGGAAGCTGAGGTTCAGAGAGGTCAATCAGGTTCCCCAAAGACACACAGCACGAATGTCAGAGAGACTGGAATGAAGGCCCACATCCGTCTGACTCAAAGCCGCAGAGCCAACGGTCAGCTGGGTCATTGTGTTTCCTGGACATTTCCCTCATTCACTCTTCCTGGCCTCAGTGTTCCCAAGGCCAGGGACGGAGTGGGGCAGAGAGCGCAGACTCACCTCTAACTAAGTTGACTTGATGACAAGTGGAATGAAATAATGCCTGGAGCATCTCAGCCCTGGTCTCCAGGGAGATCCCACTCAGGAGTAAGCAGGGCCAGAACTTTAGAATCAGACCTGGAAGGCATGCCTCACCTTATCGTTCAGTTGGGGAAACTGAGGTCAGGGGAGGGAGCGTCTTCTCTGGGATCGGCTGGTATGTGAAGGGTGAGAATAGGCACACATGGTGTAACTGCGCTCCAGGCAGCAATCAAAGTGAGTACAAAGGCCTGAGAGACAGGAAAGTTGGAATTGGAGCAGTGTTTGGGAGAGAGGAAGCAGAGACAAAGGTGGAAGGGTGCTCAGGGGCCAGACCACGGTGGGCCTTAGGGGCCTCAGCTCAAGCTGCCACCTGTCCCCAGTTGCTCAGACTTCAGTCTCCCCACTACCCAGAGTGGAGGCCGGACCTGTACTCTGGAAGGGCCAGACTCCTAGGTCTGGACGCCTCTCACCAGCACATTCCAGATGCAGCTGCCCACGCGGGCCTGTGCACTGTGATGCCACCAGCTGGGAATGTTTTCAACAGACAGCAGCATCCTCCCGAAACCGCCCCAATCCACCCCAAGATGCCCTGGGGTGCCGTGACCTCAGACCTGGCTCATATCTAGGGTTTCCTTCCTGGCCTGGTGGGGGAGGGGGTCACTGAATCAGCTGGCCCTGGCTCCCCCTAGACCTAGAGACATGCCCTCGTATCCCTGCAGTCTGGCAGAGCCAGGAGCCTGGACTGGAAGCCAAGACTTCTGAATTCTTTTGCCTCAGTTTCCTCTTTTACTCTCTGGGACATCAGATTCCCTAAACCAGTATCTCCCCAAGAGCTGGATCCTGGATCTTGGCGGTGAGGAAGCCATTCTCCTTTCAGTCCCTGCTCAAACACAGGCGGTCTCGATTGGTGCCACTTGCGTGTTACCCCTGTCTCAGCTCCTGGGCTGGGGTCCTGCCAATCGGAGACTTTTGTCACATGGTCTCTTCTCTTTGTATTTCTTCTTACAGCTTATTGTCAATGTGTCAACGTATGGCACTGGTTTTCCACTCCTGATGGGGATATCAAATTTCCTTGTAAAACTTAAGCATGAAAATACGAATAACACACGAGACAAGTGGAGACAGAGGTCCTTAAGAGGGAGTCATGGCATCGAGACGTTGGGGTTTGGGCAAGACTGTGTTTCAGAAGCTGTTCGCGTGTGCTGGGTTCTTCCCCAAAACTTTTCACCCAAATTGAACCAAGAGACGATCAGGTGAACTTAGGCTGCGAGACATTCTGTGAGACTTCAGAAGTGTTGGGGGGAGGGGAGGGATAAACTGGGAGACTGGGATGGACATACACACACTACCATACATAAAATAGAAAACTAGTAAGGACCTACCATGTAGCACAGGGAACTCTACTCAGTACTCTGTAATGACCTATAAGGGAAAAGAATCTAGAAAAGAGTGGATATATGTATATGCATAGCTGATTCAGTTTGCTCTACACCTGAAACTAACACAGCATTGTAAATCAATTATACTCCAAGAAAAAATTAATAATAATAAAAAAAAAAGGAGACGTGTTGAGGAAGGCAAGGAATGCTCTCTAAATGGAAAGACACGGCAACAGATTCTGGGGGCCACCATAACAAACGACCACAAACTTGGTGCCTAACAACAGAAATTAATTCTCTCATATTTCTGGAGACAAGACATCCAAAATTAGTATCACTAGGATGAAATCAGGGTGTGGACAGAGCCGTGCCCCATCTGGAGGCTCCCGGGGAGGGTCCTTACTGCCTCTTCCAGCTTCTGGGACTCCAGGCGTCCTGGGCTTGTGGCCATGTCCCTCTCGTCTCTGCCTTCGCCTTCACGTGGCCTCTCCTCCGTGTCTGTGTCTCTCATAAGGATACTTGTGACTGCATTTAGGGCCCCTAGGATGATCTCATTTGAAAATCTTAATGTAATGGCAGCTGCCAAGACTCTTTATCCAAATAAGGTCAGATTCACAGGTTCTGGGGATTAGAATGTGGACACATGTTTGTGGGTCTTTATTCAGCCAATCACAGAGACAAAGGGAGAACAGAAGGCACTGCATGTGCCCTACCCAGGTTTGGCATGAGAAAAAAATGTATTCAAGGACATAACGGTGACAAGAGGGGGCATTTGAGCGTGGATGAGGGATGAGGTTGCCGCTTGGCTATGACGGAGGACCTTGACATTAGAAGACTCGTCCGGGAATTCCCTGGCGGTCCAGTGGTTAAGACCCCTCGATTTCACTGCCAAGGGTCCGGGTTCGATCCCTGGTCGGTGAAATGTGATCCCCAGCCGCATGGCACAGCCAAAGGAAAAAAAAAAAAAAAACTAGTCCGACCATTTCTGAGGTTGCCTCTCAAATACTCGCGTACATAAAAAGACCACACGTGTGTATTTTTCAGGTAGAACATGAACAGTGCACACATCAAGAATACAGTTCACGGGACTTCCCTGGCGGTCCAGTGGTTAAGACTCTGCATATCCAATGCAGGGGGCGCGGTTCCATCCCTGGTCAGGGAACTAAGATCCCACAGGCCGCGTGGGCGCAGCCAAAAAAAAAAGAAAGAAAGAATACAGTTCAATTAATTTTCCAGGACACAGGGGTGTTCCAAAGAACACCCAGCCCCTGAAACCCCCTCATGTCCCCTATCATTGCCCCTGAGGGCGACACCCATCAGACAGTTCACATCATGGGTTGGTTTTCCAGAATGTCCCATAGATGGACATCTATTGTGTCTGACTGCTTCTCCTCATTCTGTCTCATTCATCCACATTGTTGTGTATTCAGTGGGTTACTCTTTTTCATGGCTGCATAGTACTCCCCCATGAGTTTGCTGCAGTGTATTTACCCATCCTCCAGCTGATGGAAATCAAAAATAATATGTAGAACTGGGGACTCCCGCAACAGGGCGTTAATTGTGCTGTTCTCACAACTTGTCTGTAGGCTTGACGTCTTCCAGAAAACCACAGGGAGATACCTCTGTACCCAACTAGGATGGCTGCAGTCAAAACGATGGCCAATCACAGCTGCTGGTGAAGAGGTGGGAACACTGGAGCACTCGTGCACAGCTGGTGAGAACGTGAGATGGGGCAGCTGTTGTGGAAGACATTCTGGCAGCTCCTCAAAAAGCCAACCGGGCTTCCCTGGTGGCGCAGTGGTTGGGAGTCTGCCTGCCGATGCAGGGGACACGGGTTCGTGCCCCGGTCCGGGAGGATCCCGCATGCCGCGGAGCGGCTGGGCCCGTGAGCCATGGCCGCTGAGCCTGCGTATCCGGAGCCTGTGCTCCGCAACGGGAGAGACCACAACAGTGAGAAAAAAGAAAAAAAGCCAAACCATAGAATCACCATGTGACCCAGCAGTTCCACTCTTGGGTATATACACGAGAGAAATGGCGACTTATGTTCACACTTAAACTCGTACACGTCCGCAGTAGCATGATTCACGACAGCCAAAAGGCAGCAACAACCACGTGTCCAGCAATGGATGATGGGTAAACAGAATATGGTCCCTCCACACATGGGAGCATCACTCAGCCATGCGAAGGGGTGAAGCATTGACACTTGATACAATGTGGATGGAAGCTGAACACAATGCTCAGTGAGAGAAGCCAGACACAGAAGGACACAAAGGGTGTGAGTTCATTGATGGGAAACGTCCAGAACAGGCAAATCCACGGAGACAGAGAGTAGATTCGTGGTTGTCAGGGGCTGGGGAGGGGATGAGGGTAA